AAGGGAACTGGGGACCAGGTACTGACCACCCTCTCCGAGAAGTATGTGTCCCCAGGCGCACGGAGAAGAAAAGTCAAGGAGGATAACGTGAATTGCAGGGAATTTCGGAGGCGGTGACGTGATTGCAGCCTTTCTCACTCCCGCTGGGATATGCACCTGAGTTTCTGAAATCAGTCTAGGTTGTGAAATCCCAGGAAAGCAGGACGATCCCTCCCTTGGGCTGTATCTCTCCAGTTCTTTCTGTAGGTATAGTGTTAATAGAGTATCTTGGAATTTCGAAATAGTCAAAGCCGGGAGAGAGGGGACGATAGGGTGGATAATGACCAGGAAAAGGATCCAACAATTTCCCGTGTTAACATCTGGATCCTAGCAGGGCCATCATTTTCATCCACCCAACTAGCTTTCGGAGGTTCCCAAGACCACAGACCTTTCTTTCAAATTGCCCTCCTTCTCTGTTTCCAGGAGACCAGATATAGGGAAAATCTGGTGGGGAGCGTGGCTGACTTTTCCTCTTACCCGGGAATGCTAATGAGCTGGATGCCGGAAGAGCTTCGTGGAAATTTGTCCAGTGCAGGAGCACTCCCTGGGTATTGCTTGGACCTTGAGATTAAGACCCCTATCTTTCTGCCAAGTTTCTCTGTAGTTGAAGGAATTGCTTTGCCAGAGTCTCTGATGAATCAGTGCTCACTTGTTTTTTTAATTTAAGTATAGTTGATGTACAATATTATGTAAGTTACAGGTGTACAATATCGTGATTCAAAAATTTTAAAGGTTATACTCCATTTATAGTTATTATAAAATATTGTCTATATTCCCTGTGTTGTACAATATATCATTGTAACTTCTTTTTTACATGATAGTTTGTACCTCTTAATCCTACCCCTACATTACCCCTCCTCCCTTCACTCTCTCCACTGGTAACCACTAGTTTGTTCTCTGTATCTGTGTTCCTTTTGTTATATTCACTAGTTTATTTTTTAGATTCCACATATAAGTGATATACAGTATCTTTCTCTGATTTATTTCACTTAGCATAATACCCTTCCAAGTCCATCCATATTGCTGCAAGTGGCATTATTTCATTGTTTTTTATGGATGAATAATATTCCATTGTATATATATACAACACCTTTATCCATTCATTTGTTGATGGATACTTAGGTTGCTTCCATATCTTGGCAATTGTAAATAATGCAGCTATGAACACTGGGGTGTGTGGTATCCTTTCGATTTAGTGTTTTAATTTTTTTCAGGTATATAAGCAGGAGTGGAATTGCTGGGTCATATGGTAGGCTTACTTTCCCACAGTCTCTGATGAATCAATACTATTCAGTTGCTTTCTTCCCTACACTTATTTTTAAAATGGATATTTCTCATTTTTAAAAGAAATTACAAACTTTCCTGAAATTCTATCTTTAACATCACTTTTAAGAGAATACAAAGCTCTCATGTTCCTAAAGAATAGAATCTCAAAAAAACCTCTTTCCATTTTCTGGAAGTGACTAGTTGTCTTTATTGAGGGTCTTCAGAATGCCTTACAAGATTTTACTGTCTGTGGGTAAGGCTGTGCCTTATAAAGGACTTGTTTTGGTTAATAACCCAGTGCTGAAGGCTGGGAACCAATATTTTCACTGAGATAAGAATCCCTGGGCTTCCCTGGTGGCACAGTGGTTGAGAGTCCGCCTGCCGATGCAGGGGACACAGGTTTGTGCCCCGGTCTGGGAATATCCCACATGCCGCAGAGTGGCTAGGCCCGTGAGCCATGACCACTGAGCCTGCACATCCGGAGCCTGTGCTCCACAACGGGAGAGGCCACAACAGTGAGAGGTCCACATACGCCAAAAAAAAAAACAAAAAACAAAAAAAACCGCTTATAAGAAGTTACTTTAAACTTTGACACTGTACCACACAATCCAGAGCTATCTAAAGATTCAGTGCAATCCCTATCAAAATTCCAATGGTATTTTTCACAGAAATAGAACAAACAATCCTAAAATTCATATGGAACCACAAAAGATGCCAAATAGCGAAAGCAACGTTGAGAAAGAAGCTGGAAGCAACACACTTCCTGATTTCAAACTATATTACAAAACTATAATAATCAAAACAGTATGGTATTGGCATACATCAGATACACAGATCAATGGGACAGAACAGAGTCCAAAAATAAACCCATGCATATATGATCAATTAATTTACAACAAAGGATCTTAGAATATACAATGGGGAAAGACAGTCCCTTCAATAAATAGTGTTAAGGAAACTGGACCACCACATGCAAAAGAATGAAACTGGGCCACTATCTTACACCATACACAACAATTAAGTAAAAATGGATTAAAGACTGAATATAAGACCTGAAACCGTAAGACTCCTAGAAAAAACATAGGGGGTAGTCTCCTTGATCCTGGTTTTGGTGATGATTTTTTGGATTTGACACCAAAAGCAGAGGAAACAAATGTAAAAGAAAAAAAAAGTGAGGCTACATGAAATTAAAAAGCTTCTGCACAGCAAAGGAAACCATCAACAAAATGAAAAGGCAACCTACCTACGAAATGGGAGAAAATATCTGCAAAATCACTTATCTGGTAGGGGGTTAATATCCAAGATGTATAAACAACTTATACAACTCAAAAGGAAAAAAAAGAAAACATTAAAAAATAGGCAGAGGATCTGCATAGACATTTTCCCAAAGAAGATATACGGATGGTCATGGTACATGACCTTTCATGTACCTTTTCATGGTACACGAAAAGGAGCTCTATGTCACCAATCATCAGGAAAAAGCAAATTAAAACCACAAGGAGATATTACCTCACACCTGTTAGAATGGCAATTATCAAAAAGACAAGAAATAAGTGTTGGTAAGGATGTGGCGAAAAGGGAATGCTTGTACACTGTTGATGGGAATGTAAATAGGTGCAGCCATTATGGAAAACAGTATTGAGATTCCTCAAAAAATAGAACATGATCCGGCAATTCCATTCCTTGGTATTTATCCAAAGGGAACAAAAACATAAACTCAAAAAGATATCTGCACCAGCCCGCAATTCTCCTCCCGCCCCTGTTCACTGCAGCATTATTTACAATAGCCAACACATGAAAGCAACCTAAGTGTCCATCAATAGATGAATGGATAAAGAAAATGTTGTGTGTGTGTATACAGTTCAGCCATAAAAGAGAAAATCTTGCCATTTGCAACAACTTGAGGACATTATGCTGAGTGAAATAAGTCAGACAGAGAAAGACAAATACCACACGATCGCATATGTGGAATTTAAAACAAGAACAAACCAAACTCACAGATACAGAGAATAGATTGGTGGTTGCCAGAGTTGGGAGAGAGGGTAGGGGTGAAATGGGTGAAGGGTGTCAAAAGGTACAATCCTCAAGTTATAAAATAAATGTCATGGGGATGTAATGTACAGCATGGTGACTATAGTTAATACTGTACTGTATATTTGAAAGTTGCTAAGAGAGTAGATCTTAAAGTGTTCTCATCAAAAGAAAAAAAATTTAACTGTATATGTTGATGGATATTAACTAGACTTATTGTGGCGATTCACAGTATGTACAAATATTGAATTGTTTTGTTGTAGATCTGAAGCTAATATAATGTTATGTCAATTACATCTCAAAAAAGTGTTGGACTTGTGGCAATTCACACTTAAGTTGGGTTTTAAGGACTGACACAACATTTAATAACTTTTGATGCTCCCATATTTGCCATTTCTTTTAAGAAAACATTGTATTTATATGGATAGGCTGGAACCTGGAGATAGTTAAGTATCACTGGCCTGTAAGAGAAACGCCACTTCTATTCACCATGGAAGTGAGAGGTAAAAACTATAAAAAGAAGGCTTCCCTGGTGGCGCAGTGGTTGAGAGTCCGCCTGCCGATGCAGGGGACACGGGTTTGTGCCCCGGTCCAGGAAGATCCCACATGCCGTGGAGCGGCTGGGCCCATGAGCCATGGCCGCTAAGCCTGTGAGCCATGGCTGCTGAGCCTGCGCGTCTGGAACCTGTGCTCTGCAACGGGAGAGGCCACAACAGTGAGAGGCCCGCGTACCGCCAAAACAAACAAACAAACAAAAACCTATAAAAAGAGACAATGGGAAACATTCTCTATGACCAGGAAAGTTTTAAGAGTCTTATATTCAGAGGATCAGAGGCAGTACAGCAGAAAAGAAAAGCGAAAGAATGACAAATTAGCAGACTAGATAGCCTAAGGGAGACTTAAATTCACCAAAATTTTTTTACCACAGCTGGGCCAGAGTTTCTATTGACAGGGAATTATGTTGCCCTATAAATACTGTAACTCTAGAAATCAGAAGCAGTCACAAAAATGAGGAAATATTCTTCCAGTACTTGAAAACTATCATCAGCTTCAGCAAAGTCCCTCACTACATTGACTGAGGGATATAGGCAGTGCTGAAGCTGAAAGAGGTTTCAGTTGTATATACTTTGTAGGAGATGGAAAATGCTGGAATGAAAGGCTTGCTTTCCCTTCTTCTCTTTTGTCCTCTGTTGTGAGCTCAAGGAGCTGTGTTCACAATCAAAATGTATGCTTTGTGCTTTAGCCATGACGGCCACACTAGATTTTGATGTGCTGGGGGCCCAAACCTCTATGCTCTCCATATCACTTAGAATATAACATGTCCTTTTTCACCAGGAAATGCTAGTTCTGTGGGTGGGGATCAGGAAGGGTCTGCAGGCCATCCACGTATGGTCAAGAGGCTTGGTTAGGTAGCCAAGGTGGGAGGGAAACAGAGACAACTCATCTCACACATTCTAAGCTCTCGGATAGTCCTGTGACCTCAACTGGTACTAAGAGAAGCAATTTCAACATTAGACTAGGCTAAGGCTAGTTAGAAATCAGAATGATTTGAAAAAGCAAAACATATTGTTGAATTCAGTATAAAAAATATATTTTTTACAGCTGCCCTTGTGTACCTTTTCACTGTATTAAATGACACTGCATTTAACAAAGGTAATCACAGGTAAATTTCTTGTTGATGTTTATTTTTCCAAAATCTCAATTTTTCCAGCATTTATGACCTTTAAACAACTTTTCAATGTGTTATCTCTGACGTTCTTTAAATAAGGAAGTTCAAGAAACATTTTATCTCAATTTTAAAAAATTCTGAATTGTACTTGAAGTTGTCACCAAACACCTTGGCAAGGAGTCATTTTAGTGGATTCTCTGGTGCTTAATCAGAACTGAGCTTCTACTGCAGGCTTCACCTCATTCACCACTGCTGGGGCTTAGTAGGATGTGGCCTCTCTGATGTTGGATCAGTATTGCTCTCTGCTTGTATGCCTTCCCACACTACTTAAATGTATAGGATTTTTCCTCAGAGTGGACTCTCTTATGTTTATTGAGATTTGACTTACAGCTGAAGGCTCGCCCACATTGAGAACATTTGAAAGGTTTCTCTACTGTGTGGATTTTGAGATGACGACTAAGACCGGTCTTCTGACTGAAGGCTTTGCCACACTCTACATTGATAAGGCTTCTCCTTGTTGTGAATCCCCTGATGTTCAATAAGATGCTCTCCCCTTGTGAAGGCCTTGCCACACTCAGGACATTGGTAGGTCTTATCCCCAGTGTGGATTCTTTTGTGGTTTCTGAGGCCAGTTAACTGCGTGAAGGTCTTCCCACATATATCACACGTATATTTTCTTGGTTTAGGAGGGTTTCCGTGCTTCCCTCCTAACTTGTGTTTGTTGAGGCCTGAGTGTTGACTGAAGGCTTTACCACACTCATCACATTTATAGGGCTTCTCCCCAGTGTGAATTCTCTGATGTATGACCAGGGTTGAGTTCACTCTAAAGGTTTTTCCACACTCGGCACATTCATAGGGTTTTTCCCCTGAGTGAATTCTGTGATGTATTATAAGTTCTGAGCTCCGGCTAAAGGCTCGTCCACATACAGGACATTCAAAAGGTTTCTCTCCAGTGTGGATTCTCCGGTGTTGGTTAAGTCCTGCATACTGAGCGAATGCTTTTCCACATACTTTACATTCATAGAGTTTTTCTTTACTGTGAATTCGCTGATGCTCAGTAAGATTTGAACACTGCCTGAAGGTTTTCCCACATTCATTACATTCATAAGGCTTCTCTTTGTTGTGGAATTGCCTATGTTCAGTGAGGTCTGCACTATGGCAGAAGGTTTTCCCACAGTATATACATTCAAAAGGTTTCTTTCCAGTGTGGAGGCTTTGATGCTTTGTAAGAACTGATCTCTGACTAAAAAATTTGCCACATTTATTACATTGATGGGGCTCTTCTCCAGTGTGGATTTTGAGATGTTGGGAGAGGGCTGCTTTCTGACTGAAGCCTTTGCCACACTCTTTACACTGATAAGGTCTTCCCTTGCTTTGAAGCCCCTGATGCTGGGTAAGTTCTACACGTCTGATGAAGGCCTTTCCATATTCTATACTGGAATATGGTTTCTTCCCAATGTGGATCCTCCTATGCAGCTGAAGGCCTCTTATCCAAGTGAAGGTTTTCCTACATTCATCACATTCATATGTTTTTTCACCTGTGGCATCCTCATCCTGCAACTCCAAACTTCCACTAGGCTCACTGTCTCCTCTGTATGTGGCATGCTGACACACAGTTTCATGATGTCCATCAGACCCCTCCCTACACCATAATATTTCTTCATAAGGTTCCTGCTTCACTTCTAATGTCAGGTTCTCAGTCCTCACACCACCATCTGAAACAACACATCATATAACTCGAGGAGAAAAGGCAACTCAAAATTAAGAAACAGACAGGTAGGAGGGTTAATCTTTATTTTAGATTTAACAGAGGATTTTATATCTTTTCTTTATTTAGTGTCAGGGGTTCAGAGAAACAGGTCAGCCAAGTAGAAGGAATGGGAGTAATACAGGTGTGGGAGTGAGAAAGAATAAAGCATGGCCAAGTTACCAATAGAGTATGGTAAAATTGATAGGATGTCACTTCTGTGATTACCTAAGACTGTAAGTTCCACCTATTATGAGATTTTCTCTATTGACACTCTCCCTTGCTGGTTTGCTGGCTTTGATGAAGAAAGCCACCATATGAAGAAGCCCATGTGGCAAGGAACTGAAGGTGGGTTATGGCCAGTAGCCAGTAAGGAACTGAGGCCCTGTGTCTGTGTGAGTGACTGACAGAGAACTGAGTCCTGCCACCATCCATGTGAGGGTGGAAGTGGATCCTTCAGTCACAACTCAGATGAGATCCCATCTTTGGCATTTTGACTGCAACCTTGTGAGAGACCCAGAAGTAGAGGGCCCAGGTAAGCCATACCCAGACTCTTGACCCATAGAAACTATGAGACAATAAACGTGAGTCGTTTAACTGCTAGGTTTGTGGTAATTCATTAAGCAGCAATTGATAACTAATGTACCACTACTACAAAAATACAAAGCTTCCTAACTATAAGAACTACTACAATTTAAAAAAGAGGAGGGAAAACAAACCACACACTTAAAATCATATGCATGTATATGTATATCCATACATACATGAACACACACAGATAAATATTTATGCATATGTGTATATATATGTTTATACTTATTATCAATAAATGCAAATGGCTTAACTTAACTATTAAAAGAAAAGAATTAGGGAATTCCCTGGTGGTTCAGTGGCTAGGACTTGGCGCTTTCACTACCCGGGTTTGATCCCTGGTTGGCGAACTAAGATCCTGCAAGCAGCAAAGTGTGGCCAGAAAAAAAAAAAGAAAAAGAAAAAAAATAGATTTGGTCACAGAGCAAAACCCAACTCTATTATATATACAAGAAACACATCTAAAATAAAATGATAGAGAAAAGTTATGAATAAATGATGAACAAGAGAAAATTAAGCAAATGCAAATAAAAGAAAGAAGGCATCATGATCTCAGTTTCAGAAAAAAGGAGAGATTCAGGCCAAAAGCATGAAATTAGACAAAGAAGAGAACTTTATAATGCTAAATATACAATTTACAGTGACAATGGAACAGATATGTCTAATTACGCAGAAAATAACAGAGGAGCAACTTTCCTAGAGCAGAAATTATAGATGACATAAAGAGACAAAACAAATAACAGACTTTAATCATCCTTTCTCTGTCTGAAAATACACCAAATGGGCAAAAAAAGATACGGAAGATTTACAAAATGAAATCAACAAAATTAAATCTTATGGATAAATATGTATATCAAGCTCTGTATCCTGAAAATAGAACATCTTTTCAGATGTGCAGTGACCTTTAATGAAAACTATTTTTTGGGTCATAGGAAAACCATAATAAAGTCCCAAAGGTGTAAAAACAACACAAACATTCTCTGATTACAATAGAATAAATCTAAAATTAATAACAAAATCAGAAAATAAGCCCTTCCATCTGAAAATTTTAAAATTTCCAATTATTGGTTCAAAGGCAAAATATAAGCATACATTTCTGATTTTCTAGAAAATAACAAAAACACTACATTTCAAAACATTTGGGATTCATCAAAACCTGTGTTCATCTGTAGCATCAAATATTTATATTAGTAACAGATATATAGATCAATCCAGCTCAAAAGTTAAAAAATAAAAAGGACAACTAATTAACCAAGATAACTTGCTCATTTAGGAACACTTTACTGGCTTTTCTCCCTTCTGTGTCTCATTCCCCTTCCTTATGCTTCCTGGGAACACCTCTGATACAAATTACTACAATGTAAAATAAATAAATTTAAAAAACAAGTGAGAACATAAGGTAGGAATTAACAAAAATAAATGCAGAAATAAAATATAGAAAAATAATGGAACATTGTAGTGTGAATACACCATTGTGAACTCATATTTTTTAGAAAAAAAAAATGTACTTCTAGCTCTACCCATAAAATGTGCTAGAAATATTGTTACCCTAGTGGTAAAGAACTCCCCTAGCACCCAGATTTTATACCTCAGTAGCATTCTCCATTAAGAAGAATCAAGGCTCCTTCATTAAGGGTTGATACCAAATCTGGGTCTAGGGAAAGTACAAGGTGAGCCTGGAACAATTAATTTTGTTCAGAAAGCAAGGATTCAAAATTCATAGGGTCATGGCAAAAAGAGACAGGGGCAAGATGTGAGACATCCATACAAGGCAAAGATGTGTCAGTCTGAGCATTAAAAAGAGTAATAACTGGTAGATTGAAACACACTGACTCAATGAAAATTACTAAGTCCATAATGATACTAACACAGAGAAAGTCCTAAAATCTCACGTTGCCATTTGAGGTACCTATTAAACCATTCCTTGAATATGAAAATTGGTAAATAAAGGGGGAAAACTAAGCGTCAATCTTGACTGTCTAATATGAAGTCAAGTCAATCTAATCAACAAATAGATGATTTGACCGTTTCTTTACTATAAAGAAGAAAGTCAGTTAATAATGCAGAAGGAATGAAAGAATTATAAAATCATTCTGTAACCCTTAATAAAATGGTTGACCCACATAAGAATTCTCAAATATTTTGTATTTTGTTGATAGGAAACTGGCCATTCACAAACTGCCAAAGTGACACCACACCATTACAAGGGGGAAAATTAGCTGTTCAATGGAGGGATCATACTGTCATCATCCTAAGCCAGCCAGGGCTTTTATAGTGGGTCACCCAGGAATTCATGTCTACTTACCTAATATTAATTCTAGCCAAAAATGTTTAACTTGAGTCTTTCAATCTTTTTTCCAGTTTATGGAAATCCAGGGTACAGGGGCAGCAAAATAAATGATACAATGAGGAAGCAACCAGAAAAATACAGAGGGAAAGAGACTGGCCTGGGCTCATCAAAAAGTCTGGGCTGTGAGAGGGAAAATGGGACAGTGAAACTGTTCTAAAGTAAAAAAGAATTAAAAGGCATAACAACCAGATGTGTTATGTGACCCTGGCTTCTATCCTGGTTTGCACAAATCAACTTTAAAGACATTTTGGAAAAAAATGGACCAGTTTGAATTTGGATTGAGTTTAGATAACATTAAGATGTATTGACAGGGAAAAGGGAAGATTATTAACTGAGCAAAATAGATTATGAAATAGCACATAGAAATGATCCCTTTTTGGTGAAAGGAATGTGTGTATGTGTGTATACACACATGTGCACATAAAAGATATACAGATATAAAATAAAAAGTCATCAATCGTAATCTCTGGGTGATAAGAATATCATGATTTGCTTTCTTATTTTGCAACTCTGTATTTTCTAACTTTCTACAATGCATATATACTTCTCTGGTAATAATAAGACGTAACTTTCAAAAAAGTCAATGTAGTTTTACAATGTTAATATCCTATCAGGGTCTATTTATGTAAGCATCAAAATACTTGAAAGTAACATTTGCTATAGACAATCTGCAGAAAATTCAACTGTGGATGTTTAAAACTGACATACTGCTGAGGTTGTTCTGAGATGACTTATCACCTGTTAATAATTATTACCTAAAATGTCAGCTCTGTCACTCTTTAACAACTCTCATCACAAGGAATTAACAAGTCACACTCCACAAAAAACCCAAAGGGGAGTTGATTTCAGTCCAAATTCCTTAGAGAAATTCTTGCCTCACCTCTTTCCTCTGATGCGTGGGGCTAAGGTCCTTTGCCCTTGAATTGGACTGCTGGAGGTTGAACTCTGGTACATGAAGATTCTTCATCTAGTGTCTTAAGTGTCACTGTCTGCAAAAGGATCTTCTGTTCCAGAGCACAGGCTGAAAGCTAGAGACAAGCAGCACTCATTAGGCCTGTAAGGATATCATGAATTTAACAGGAACCAAACCTCAGGGAGGAGTCCCCAAGAAACATCCCCCAACAAAGACTAGGAGGAAGAAGCTAGAAACCAGGCCCTAGGGCGCTGAGAGGCAGCCAGAAAGGTAAGCAAAGTAAAGTTTGATCAAATATTGTTTCTGTCACTTCATTTATTGGCTATGTGTCCTTGGCTAAGTTACACAACCTCACCGAACTTAGTTGTCATGTGTGATACCACCTACGTCTTTGCTGCTGTGAACGATGAATGACCAGTAAAGGAGCACGATGCCTTCAGTATCTTTACTCACCATCCCCGAATCTGCTGTTTCCCACCCTTCCCCTTCTTCCCCTCCTGACTGGCTTAGCAAGAAGCTCAGTTCCCTGCTGAATGCTAGGTTTTCCCACTGTTCTCTCAGAGCCTTCACACTTGAGAAAGTTTTGCTCCCAGTTCCCCGCAACCACATCATACTAGTCTCTTCCTATGTGTACATTTCTCTTTCTTTCCAGATTCTCCAGCATGGTCACCACCTCCTCCCCACTCTCTGGATGATGTTCCTGCAGCTGGGCCTGGAGCTCCTGGGGCAGGATGGAGAGGAACTGCTCCAGCACCAGCAGCTCCAGGATCTGCTCCTTGGTATGTGTCTCTGGCCTAAGCCACTGATGGCAGAGCTCCCGGAGCCGGCTCAGTGCTTCTTGGGGACCAGGGGAATCCTGGTAGCAGAAGTGTCTAAACTGCTGCCTGAAGATCTCCCAGGCAGGAGGCTGGTTCTCTGGAAGGCTGAGACCCTGATTCCTGAGGTGGTCTTCCTCCAACTTCACTTTCACCATCACAGGCCCCTGCTGACCCCATGGGGCTTGGAACAGCTGGCCAGCAGACTTTCTTGTGTCCACGGCCATCATTCCTGGCTTCTGCTGGAGTTTCAACTGGAGGCTTCTGAGGGCACCCTGGGGAATAAGAATTAAGTGATAAAGGGATACACAGCATATACTTCGAAGAACGCACAGAAGAAAGAAGACCTGTAAGCAGGGTAACTAATTTTATTAATTCACTGAATCCACAAATATTTTTTAGAGGCCTACCTTGTACAGAAACTGTTCTAGGTGTTTGAGACGCATTAGCGTACAAAGATCCCTGCCATCATGGAGTGTTCATTCTAGTAGGAGCAATCAATAAATACAACAAATATGAAAAGTGTAGAGTATGTTACGGAGATAAGTAAAAATATATAATTGCTGGTGTGTGTGTGTGGAATGAAGGCTGATAAGTAAAAATATGTAATTGCTGGGGGGTGTGTGTGGAATGAAGGCTTGCACTTAATGGAAGAAGGTTCCTCCAAATCCGGCATTAAATACATGTATGTGGCCCCTAACCTAAAGCAAATTTTCAAGTTATCACTTGGCACCGTTTTTCCATACTTGAATACATATGATCCAACCTGTGAGAGAGGAAAAGTTACTAGTCACAGCCAGAAAATTATTGATGTTTTCGTGTTAATCTGGCAAAACTGAGAGCGAAATCCCACTTCGCTTCACACAGTGCTGGCGGCCTTGGTTTAGTCAAAGCTTCGGAATTATGGTTCCCAAGAAGGGGGTCCCCAGTCCCGGGACAGGGTCCTGTCTTGGGGGCCTTGGGGCCGGCCTTTCCGGAGCCTCCCAGACAGACGTCTGCTCCCGGCCGCGCAGCCCCGAACCTCCCCAGGCACAGATTGTCCTCCAGCCGGAACCAGGGCCGGTGTTGGTTGCCCCACGCGGCTCAACACGTCCGGGGCTTCGCAATGACGAATCCGATATCGAGGCGGAGGGACACCCCCATACACTCACCTGACAGGGACGCACAAGTTCGGCTCCCGGAACCGGACGCTCCGGCGCAACGGCTTCCGGCGTCTCCCGGAGGTCACGCCCCCGAGCGCGCGCCCGCGACCCGCCTCCGCCCACGTGCGCAGCGTCTCCCAGTTACCCTGCCGTCGGGTACGCTGCGTGTTCAGTTCGAGCGGTTCGGGACTAAAGGCGGTGAAAGCAGCAACTGTGCTTTGACAATTAACACTAAACCCAGTTCCTGGATCTCTGAAATTAAAAAAAAAAGTTTCGAACACCCGCCTCTTGCCAACCTGATAGGACCTCTTAACTGAAAATGTAGGGGAGGAGTGCTAGATGACAACAGAGAAGAAAAATGATTGCTCTCTTCCATAAAGAGCGTTCCCGGGAAGTAGGCCGTTGGCGGTCAGCATCGCTACCTGTTTGTCTCCCCTCTGCCCTTCTCCTGGGTGCTTTCATCTTCTCTGTTCCCAGAACCCTCTCCTTCTCAGGAAGGAACACGATAGCTAGCCTTTAGGATCTCGTGAATATACTGAAACCAGGAAGAAACACAGAAAACAGTGATGGTCGAAAAGTGGGAGCTGTTAAGGCAAAAAGCTTGGACCAGAAGGCAGTGGAAATTTGCGAGAATGCATGACCCTAAGCGCAGAAGAGGATTAAATGATGGAAGAGGTTCTACTGTGGAAGAGTTGGAAGAGGGGGCGATCAAAGTAGGTGAGCTGAGGGAAGTTCCTCAGTGAGTTGCTGCTTTAGTCAGTCAGCAACACAGGGTTGGGAATAATAAAGGGAGTAGCAGACACAAAAAGGAGAATCAACATATGAAGTGGGGTGCTGGAATTTTGAAAAACCAGCCAGAACTGTAAAGTTGTCCTTGTCCCACTGTGCAGAGACCGTGGTGTATTGGGAACAGATTCCTCATGGCTATTACCACAGGAAAGCAAGACTCTCAGAACACTGCCCCTACAGAAACAATGTTGCTCACTTTGGAGTTTCTCTTGTGCTGAGGCAGATATTCCCCATTCTTCACAGTGCAGGACGTGCATATCTTAAAACAATCTAGCTCTCTCTCAATTCTTTTTCCTCTCTCAATTTTTCTTTTTTTTTCTTAATTTTTTTTTTTTTTTTTTGTTTTGTTTGCATTGGGTCTTCATTGCGGTGCATGGGCTTCTTGTTGTGGTGGCTTCTCCTGTTGCAGAGCACTGGCTCTAGGCGTGTGGGCTTCAGTAGTTGTGGCACACGGGCTTAGATGCTCCACAGCATGTGGGATCTTCCCAGACCAGGGATCGAACCTGTGTCCCCTGCATTGGCACGCGGATTCTTAACAACTGCGCCACCAGGGAAGTCCCTCTCTCTCAATTCTTGATACCTCAGAGAAAATTCAAAATCCCTTCACCTAGAAAGAGTGGAAAGGACACCACTGTTGTTATACTGAAGGGATTATTACTGAGTAGAAAAGGGGAAAGCAAGCTATTTTGAAAGCACCTGGAATGAGCTTAATGGTCAGATCTTAGAAAGCCACATTGAAGATGCTACGTTTCAAGGCAAATACCAAGGACAACACCACAAAGCAACCACGGCTTCCTGAGGAGACTGGAGAGTTGACCACTGCTCACATGTGTAGGAACTGAAGCCTCTGAACCCCACACCCAGGACCTTCAGTTCACAGAAGGGCTGGCACCTTGGGGATGTGGAGAGCTGAATGACAGAGCAGAGTCCAGAGCAAAACGAGCCCTGCCTTGTAAACATCCCTCACATTTCTTCCCTTCCCCGTCCAAAGTGGCTAAACATCTGTCAAATTATACTTACTAGGAATTATATCAAAAATCCAATAAGTGAGATCAGATAGTATAGGACAGTGGTTAAGAGCTTATAATTTGGGGTCACTGAATTCAGGTTCCTGTGCTGCAGTGCCCCTTGAGCAAGTCACTTAACTTCTCTAAATCTGTTTCCAATTAGGGGACAGTAAGAAAACTAAGAGCACTGGGCATCAAGAGGATTAAACGAGATCACACAAGGGAAAACCACGAGCAGAGTTTTTGACAAGAGTACACACTATGGATAGCTTTATCATTTGTGAAAAACTCTGAGTCTTAAGAGTCTAAGGAGAAATGACTAATATATCCATCCCATTTACTGTGTTTATGTGTAAAGTACACACTTTTACTGAGCCTGCCCACAAGGGGTCAGTTGTTCTGCAGAAGATATAAAATGGGCAAATTAGTGTCCTCCTTGGGCCTGAACCATATACCAAAAAAATTACATAATCTTTATAATCCAGAGGCCTATTATGTAATTAGGGCACAGACCTAGAACACCTGACACTGATGAACAACAGAGTGTTAATATGTAAATATATTATGTGGTCCTGGATTTAAATGTAGAAGGAGTTCAAGTATGGAGATTCACTGAGGCCCAGTGGTTAGAGTCTTTACGGGAGCTGTGGAAGGCAAGATGGGCCCTGGAGAAAGGGAGCAAGTTAAGAATTCCTCCTTCTCAGGTTGGGAAAGGTTCAGGAGTTGGGGAAACCATCCTGGGGCTAGCAATGGAAAGGAGGCTTGTGAACTGAATAGGAGGCTGGCAAACAGCAGTTGGCCAGAGGCCACCAGGATGGGGGAGACGACCAGCAGGGCACAGTCTAGAAAGGCTGTCAAAGATCTGCTCAGATCTTTATCCTCTTCAGGGAGTGCCCTGCGTCCACTCTTACCCTGAAATTGTTGCTTCGCTCACTATGGTTACATAAAGAGTTTTCCCAGACTAAACCCAAGGAAAAGGCAAATCTTTTAAACATGTTACATCAATCTTGGGAGTTCCCTGGCTGTCCAGTGGTTACGACTTCATGCTTTCACTGCTGTGGGCCCGGGTTCGATCCCTGGTTGGGGAACTAAGATCCCACAAGCCACGTAGCCTAGCTAAAAAAAACCTCAAAAACAAAACAGAAAACATGTTACATCAATCTTGCTCCTATTTACTTGTGATTTTTAAATATCTACATGTGCCAACTTCTGAAAACGTGGAGGGGTCTCAAGACTGAACATGACTGTAATGTACTGAACATAGCTAATTTTCTCGTTCATAATTATTAGGCTCATTTTGAGAAGTATCAGAAGCCAGCAATCGAGATTCATGAGGGCTTTGGGATCCTCTCCCCCAGCTATCAGTTCTGGTTTTAGACTGAAATCTGCTATGCATACAGACATTTATTAGCAATGTTCAGGAAAATTATCAAAAATTGGAAATAGGCAAAAATATGCTAGAACATTTTGACTCTCGGGGAATTTAACATTGACCTACAATTGATTAGATTTCAAATGTTTTACAGTCCTATAAAGTTAGAGGTTAACTTATAGAAAACTGAAAAGATATAAAATTTTCCTCTGCCCAGAAGAGAATACTAACCAATTTTGTATCTAATTTAGCAATTTTATTGCAATATTTTCCCCTCACTAATTATATGAATTTCAATTTTGTATATTCTCGTGGAATCAAGTCTACCATTCTGTTGGCTCCTCCATTAATGAGTTAAATAAAATTTGGACACTTGCTCATTATTTGTTAGAATGAGCTATATGAAATGATTGCTTCCTCTAATGCTTATAACCTAATATTTATAAGAAACATTTTCCTTAATTTAAGAGTGAAACATTGACAGCAAGCATGGACAAAAGTCATATAGCCCGTTCTGGGAGCATGATGAATTCCCAGTTTCTCTGTCTGCGTGGCTGCTCCTCTCACATCTTGGGTGAAAGGTTCATTGGAAGGAAATGTTGCTAAGGATGCAGTTAATCTTAGAGTCAGGATCAGGCAAACGGAATCTTCTGACATCAGAAAAGGTTGCGAATCAAGCCTCGAGTGCCATTCTAAAAGGTGAGCCATGAAGGACTCTAGATGTTCATGCAAAGGTAGAAGGAAGAGACTCTAAATTCTTTTAGTCACTATATATCTTTAATATCACAAATTCCACCAATGAAAACTCACTTCTAACATTCAGTATGTAAATTAGTAAAACCTCTGCTATTAATTGGAGATACAGCTAATTGCTGTGCTTAATGCTAACTTCCTCTGGAGTGTGGCCTTTCTGATTAAGTGTTGGTGAACCACCCCTGAAGGATATATTACTGATTAGAGGATCTATCCACGTAGACAATTAGGTCAACTTTTTGTGGTGTTGTTTGTTTCTTAGTAAATTACAGACCATACAACAAGGACAACCTGTTTTCACTAGACAAATGGGATGTAAGTTCAATAACCAAACCATTTTCCCTCTTCCATACAGGATGTTCCTGGAAGGTATGCAATCTTGTCTCAGTGTTGGATTGTGTCTATTTCCTAATATAATTTCAGACAATTCACAAAAATAGAAGTGTACCGCAATAAAAAAGACTCTGTTCATTTAAAAAATAAAATTTTTTTTTATGTGGACCATTTTTAACATCTCCATTGAACCCATCACAACATTGCTTCTGTTCCACACTTTGGCCCCTTGGCCACGAGGCATGTGGGATCCCAGCTCCTCAACCAGGGATCAAACCTGCACCCCCTGCATTGGAAGGCGAAGTCCCAACCACTGGACCACCAGGGAAGTCCCTGTTCATATATTTTATTGGCATAATGTGCCTTCCTAATCATATTTTATTTTGGCACTATTTTTCAAATAGATTTGTAATAATGTATAAGAAATGTATGCTTGTATATGTAGGTGTGTATACATATCCACACACATAAATGTGTTGTCACCAAGTGTTCTTTTGTAAAGAAATCTCACATTGTTTTGAATGTCATCTTTGTATATTACAATTACAAATAAGGTGTCAACAAGTTCTCTCCCTTTTTTCAAAGCTGTACTTATTAAAAGCTACCACCAATGTCTTCTTTTCTGTGAAGACTCTGCTGACTCCTTCAGTCAGAATTAATGTTCTTTAACATTATTTGGACTTTATAATATAATTACTTATTGTTTATGTAGCCTATTCTG